GTTGTTTTGAGTTTACGATTCACCGGGTGCGTTGAATTGCAAAAGTCTGTTCACCACAACTGCACGGACTGACAATAAATTGTGTGTTTGCTTTGCTTTCGAACATGTCTACTCTGAATTTTTTGGATTATAGTATTAACATTTCTCATTAATACACAACAAGATTGCCACTTTTCCTAAGGATTAAGAATAAAGTTGAAATTTGTGAAAGTGCAAAGATGTGTAAATCAACCCCGCCAAAAATTTTAAAGTTTTAATAATTGTTAAATGAAATAAGATTTTTAATTAATTTTTGTGTGAAATGTTATTAAAATATATAAATCGTAATATTAATATATGTTATAGAGTAAATATGAACTTCAAATCTGTGTCTAAGTACCTTTAATACCATGTGCAAATAATTCACCCAATGACTAAAGTAAAGGTGTAATAGAAATTTATCAAAATTATTTTATCCTGCTCACTAAGTCATTCTCTCATTTAAAACTACATGTATGAATTCAAAATAATACTTTGAATTAATATGATAAAAAATATTAAATCTGTAATTTAAGCAAAATAACTTTACGTTAGATTTAAAAGAAAAAACAGATTACACTCTTACACAAATATATATTATTATAACAGTAACTTGATTCGAAGAGCAATATCACGTCGAGTTGATAGGCGCGGATCATCAAATCTAACGAGACGCGAAGTGTCAAGTTTAATCTGATGATCCGCGCCTGTTAACAAAACGTGATACGGCTCTTCGGATCAAGTTACTGTTTTAATGATAAATTTATTATATACCCCCTCATAACTAGCTAAATAGAGAAAAATAACACTTTAGAGATCTATTGTATAACATTTATCCATAAAAGAAAGCATAATTACCAGGGACTTTTTAACGCGCAAGAAAAATAATGTCATGTTTCTGCGTACTACGTCATCAGTTTCAGAGAGTGGTGATATGGATTCAGAAAACCACAGTGTGGTGAACCGGAAAGTCAGATCATGTCACTTGATTACGTAAATTCAACAGTAAAATTGAGTGATATACAGTACATGTAGGTGTATAATAAAACACGTTATCGTCAAACATTCCTATTCCAGTGGCAATTGAATAAAATAAAGGAAAATTAGTATATATACTCTGTAATAAATAAGAAAAGTAAGAAAAGAAAGATGAGATCCAAATACCCAAAATTCTAAGTTGATTGTAAAGAAATTGACTTCATATTACAAATCTCAAAAAGCGACTAGCACGGAATGAACTTAAAAAATCAAATAACCAATGAGAAACCAAGTCACCTGTGTCAAAAGGTCTAAAAATAGTAGCTTCTATGAATAACTCAAACACAGGTTAATTATACCATACCCGAACTAAATATAGTTAGGGTATATTGTTGTTACTCATATTTGTCCGTCCGTCCGTCTGTCAAACTCTTTTGACAATACCGAACATGAATATATACATGTATGTGACTTCATGATTGGATATAATTTAATATTTCGTAAAGCGGTCCCATGGTCTAGTGGTATGTCTCTCGTTGCACATGTGAGAGGTTCCGAGTTCGATTCGCAGATGATTCATTATCTTTTTTTCCCCGAAATACATTTTTTAACTAAACAATGATATTCAGCATGTGAAATGAAAAATTTATGAGGTGTGTCTTGTACAAACTCATAAGATCATCATTACATTGTGTTAAATATTCCATATAAAAAATCTTCTGTACACATAATAAAGAATAAGCAATCAAATCTTTACATCCATATTGCTATATTTTATTTCATTCAGTATACATGTATACATTTAATAATTCTACAAATGCAGTCAGGGGGATCCGACCTCCCCCCCCCCTCTGCATTGTTTACTTTTTCCCTAAGCGAGGGACACAAATTCTCTGAATTAGCTTTTTTTTTAATCTAGAACAAGATGTGAAACTTGGTATGGTATTTAAATACTGCGACTTCACATTTTCAAATGTTTTTAGGGGTACTTGTCATAAAGGGAATATGAAATATCACAAAAATACTTCTTCAAACATCGTTGTTTATAAACTTTATTAACTGAATACTAATAAACAATATTTTATCAAGAATAATTTCTTTTTTATTCAATTAACTTAAAAGATAAGTCCACCATTAAAAAAAATAGTAAAATGAACTCTATTATTTTTAGTCAATTATGCACCCTACATTTGTAAATATTTTTTTGAAGTCTTCGTCACAATGTTTTCAATCTTCAATATGATGAAGAACATAGCCAAATGATTACAAAAAGTGATTAAAATATATACCTTTCCCCTCTAACAAATGAAAGATAGGCTATTTACCGATACTCATATTCTTGACCTTTTTGCACTTACACAGGATTTAATAATTAAATGATTGTTTGGGCCAGGGTTACTTTCAGATTAAAAATTTATCACAAATTGTACTTTTACTTTAAAAAGATCATATTTAATAGAAAAATTGTAATCAAACACCAAGAATATGAATAGGGAACAAATAATTGTAAAAAGGAATGCACATCATTTCATTATATAGATTTCACAAAAATGTACACACGATCAAACGATCTACAACACATACATCTTTGACTTAGACACATTTCATCAAGATATTACAGTATATAGTTGTCAACTAAAGATTTCTTACGATTTTTGCATTCCTTCAATATGGTTAAATACCATTCAAATTATTACGAAAGTAGTATGTACATTGTAATTTCATAAAACTAGATAGTCTTCGGTTTGTCAACTTCAGGTCTAGATCTAGTAAATAAAAGGTGCCTACATACCTTCTCTTATTCCAGAAATATATTGCCATTAAGCATTATAAACCAAAAAAATATATGAATTGAATTAAGATTATGTTGGCATGATTGAATTCTGTGAGTTTCAAAATGCAATATTTTTTACCATTTCTTTTGAAGCTGTCAAGTACGGGAAAAAGTGGCATTGAATTAATTATGTCGTCTTAATGGGTTAGCACAGGTTAAACACATTTACCAGTTTTGTTGTCATACGAAGTAGGTTCTACGTTAAAAGAAATGTAATGAATACTGTGTGCTAAATCAAAAGCTTATGTCTACATGTACAGTTTTTGCATTAGAATGACTGTGTATTTTACACTAGCCCATAGCTTTACAGAGCATATTTTTAGGTCTTATACTTACCCCACCCCCTTTCTTATTTCGTTGTATTTCTATATTCAAAAAAACAAAAAAAAAAAAAACCACCCTACCTTTATTTTTCTATAAGAAGGAATTAAAAATAAGCTAAAAATAATCTACTATTCTACTAATTTTAACTGTGACTTTGCCACAATACTTTCAAGTATACCTCCACCAACATTTAAAGTATGCTTTAATCATGGCGAAGTAAATTATGATATGATATAATGGTACTTGTGTGAAGGCTTAACTTCAATTCAATATTTTATCTAGAGCCTCTTTCAGAATTATTGAAAGGTATAGAGTTTTATTTATATTTTTGCTTTTCATTTATTATTATTATTTTTTGTTTCGACTTAACGTAATTTTTTTTTTTTTGGGGGGGGGGGGGTAAAAATTTCCCCCTCTTTCATTGTCAAATAGGACTTGCCAAACTTAAAAAAACTTAAAGTTGAAAATTTAATTTTTTCTATTAAAGAGTATTTAAACCTGATTTTTGCATGGTTTGATTTCAAAAACAAGTGGAATATCATTCTTTTAGCAAACATTATAAGGAGGAATATTTAAAAGAAATTTTATTTACTTGACAATTGAAGAATCTCTTTTCAAACACAATTTTAGCATTGAAAGAAATTAGTTTCGCTGTAAAAAAGATATCAAAGAGTGTATACTTTGTATCACTTTAAAGGGGGTCATTTTTCAATGGGGTCATTATTTTATACGACTAACATGTAAAATAATGACCCCCTAGAACTCTTTTTCTACAAAAAATTATTTTGTTCTACGGGTGGGGGACATTTTTTGCCGTTGAAAAATGACCCCTGGTCATTATTTGATGGGGGTCATTATTCATCTTTACAGAGGCACTACTCATTATTGCTGAATATTACTGATTTGTTGAAATGCATTTTTTTTTCCACCTACCCTGCCTATGGGTATTAAGTAACCAAACTAAGGAACTGCTAGGTGTATAGTTATGATGACCAAATTGTAAATGCTATAGCATCTGGCTTAAAACATGAATCAAATTCAATCACTGGGAAGTTGTTGAATAATGCTGATGAACTAAGTACATAGTAAAAAGAAGGAATAGTGTTTTTTCCAAAATTTCATGGCCACTGGGTCAGGGGTTCCATGGAGGGAAGCTTATTATGCCCCTCTTCGAAGAAAGGAGGGTATATTGCTTTGCTGCTGTCTGGTGGTTAGTCTGTCTTTGGGTCCACCATTAGTTTCTGATCATTTTTTGCAGAGGTTACACACATTGAGATGGAATTCCGGTGAAGGGCTGCAAATTTAGACCTATGTTCGGCACTTATGGCCTATGGTCAGGGAGGGATCTTTATCTATCTTCGGTTTATACGGTCTTATCCTAAGGACCACCCCATTTAGTCGCCTTTTACAACAAGCAAGGGTGTACTGAGGACGTATTCTAACCCGGATCCCCACGGGAAGAAACAAAATGAAAATGAGTGTTTGGTCTAAATGGGCAAAACATGCACAAAGTCAGGTTCTTTCCTGGAAAGCATTTTAAATATTGACCTAATGATTATTTTATATTTAGAAAAAAATTTACATGTATGAATTATCATGTTTTGTGGTGATCAGAGTTAGAGTCGCTGATAAAATATTTATGAATGAGGAAGACTATAGATACACTTGTTTTATACTTTATCACAGTGAACAGAGAGCCAGTGTGTCTTATTGTCATAAGTAACAAGTGGCCAATAGCCACGTTGTATACCAAAGTCTGTGTTTTGAATCGCAGGCAAGTGACAAAACATATTTGTAAAAGTTGAATACCTTACATACTATAGACAAGTATCAATTGTAATCGTATACTGTTCATTCATTTTCATCCCTGTAAGACTTTGGAAAAAACCAATTATTATTCCAAGGATTATTTACTAAATGATAATTTCTTCTTTTACGGTTGCTGATGATGACTCACCACTGAAGACATTTATCAGGATAAACACTGCAGATTTGATACCAGACCCAAGCAGTACAGTTGACATCTCTGATACAGATGAAAAAGAAGACAATTTGGAGCTAAAAAGTACTGATAAAAGCACTGAAGTAGTTTTATATAGCAGAGAAGAAAAGGAAGAAGAGAAAGTTGAGACGTCCATTTCTCCAACTGAAGGCAAAGAAGAACGGAATACAGTAGAGACAATGGCCCGTGTTCTTTCCTCAGAAGCCACAGCTATGTTGAAGGATGAAATTTTCGAAAAAATCTTGTCTGAAAAAGAAAAATTACCAACTGTCAGCATGCTGGATTTTGCTGGACAGTTAGCGTATTATGCCTGCCACCAAATTTACGTAACACCAAAGGCCTTCTTTATCCTTGTGTTGGACATGACTAAGAGATTTGAGGATGTTGTGGATAGAGAGAAAGACAATCAAGAAGGATCAATCTTCTCCGTTTGGACTTACAAAGGTAAAACACTCGTAAAATGTCAAGTTTTTAGGTAGGGTCAGAGTCTAGGCAACTAATTATAAATTTGTTAACTGACAATAGATATTCAGTTATCATTTTGTTTAATTAATTGAAATATTCAAAGAAACATTATTATCCCATCACCCAGCTACATACAGTTGTGGAGGGGATATAGCTACGTGTAGATAGTGTAGATTCTCCTTTGTTCAAGCCATGACCCCCCGGTGGTAGGACAAGGCCATAATGACCATTCCAAGTTTTACATAGAAATTTATACTAGAGAATTTTTTTAAGTCACCTGAGTAAACTCAGGTGACATATTGCTATCTGTTTTTTTCCGTCGTCGTGAGTTAACATTTGAACATTTTAAGCTTCTTCTCTGCAACCTCTGAACCAATTTCAACCAAATTTGGCACAAAGTATTTTTGGGTTACGGGGAACAAAAATTGTGAATTTCATGATCCCTGCCCCCCTGGAGCCTGAGGGATAGGGCCAAAATTAATTTTGGTGGTTTTGAGGACCTCTACCAAGATTGTAAATTTTATGGCCCCAGGGTCAGGGATTCTTGTTTTAGGGTGGGGCTCTATTTATGATTATATAGTGAAATGCATGAATTCTTTGAACTTCTTATCCTTTGCTCCTGGTTAATATACTAATGATCTAATTACATATTTAAGGCCAGGATTTATTCTATTTTCAGTTTTACAAACCCTCCGCTCAAGGTTTTGAATTTTCAGAAAAAAATTAAAAACTTTTCTTTCCTGTGTCAAATTTGAGTTGGGAACGAGATTTCAAATTTATAAAAAAAATTATAAAGAAATATTTTGGAAAATTCTTTAAAAATCTTCTCAAGAATAGCAAAGCCATTGATTGATCATACTTATATGGAAGCATTCTCAGGTAGTGTAGATTCAAGTTTGTTCAAATCATGACCCCCAGGGATGGGTGGGGCCAAAATGGCCGATCAAAATTTTACATAGAAATATATAGGAAAATAATTCTTTAAAAATCTTCTTCTCAAGAATAGCACAGTTATAATTGATTATTCTTACATATGTATATGGAAGCATTCTCAGGTAGTGTAGAATCAAGTTTGTTCAAATCATGACCCCCAGGGATAGGATGGTTCCACAATGGTCGAACAAAGTATAACCATGATAACTTAGGAATATATAGGGAAAATATTTCAAGGACAGCAAAGCATGATTGGTCATATTTAGTTTGGCTGAGGGGCGGATACAAAGTTAGTTCAAATGTAAAAGGCAATAAATCCACATGTAGTCGAAGAAGTATATGCAAGCATCCTTAGTTAGCGTAGATTAAATTTTGTTCAAATCGTACCGTGTAAGGATTGGTTGGGACTACGTATGGGTTTAAGCTTTTCCATAATAAATTGATTTGTGCTTTCATTCTAGCAACAGTGTTCATGTGAGCGATTGTTTTAGATTACAAATTTTTTTCTCTTTCAGACTACTTGAAGTTTTGGATAACCTCAATTAAGACATTTGGAGGCAGAAAGGCACCACTGTTTCTTGTTGCCACACACACGGAATCAAAATCTTCGGATGTTAGTATTCAAGCTGATAAAAATGTGTATCAAAAAAAATATCTGATCCCAGTGTATCAAAAAAAATATCTGATCCCAGTGTATCAAAAAAAAAATATCTGATCCCAGTGTATCAAAAAAAAAAATCTGATCCCAGTGTATCAAAAAAAATATCTGATCCCAGTGTATCAAAAAAAATATCTGATCCCAGTGTATCAAAAAAAAATATCTGATCCCAGCCTATCAAAAAAAAAATTCTGATCCCAGTGTATCAAAAAAAAATATCTGATCCCAGTATATCAAAAAAAATATCTGATCCCACCCTGTCTTTAGAATTTTCAATAATAATAGTGTATACTTCAAAAATACAAAAAAAAAACAACATTTAATTTACATTTATTTTACTACAAAATGTGTCACACAATAATATGTTTAAATATCTTAATGCTTGCTTTGTTTACTTCTTTAGGAAATAGAAAAGTATTTTGGGGAGTTTTGGAATGTTGTACCAGACGAGGACAGAGATTGGTTAAGTGAGTCTCTGAATGATCGAGAATATGCAGTAGGTTTAAAGAAACTTAATGATAATACCAAGAAAAACCTGGAGTCAATGAAAAAGTCCATAGTGGAATTATTTACAGATATTAAGAACAATACAAAAGTTGAATTGCCTTCTTCGTGGGCTCTAATGGAGCAGTTATTGTATGAAGGAGGCTGGAAGGTTTTGTCCCTGAGTGAAATCTGGAAGATAAACTCATCTCTCCCTAATGAATACCAAATCAAAGGTGATGGGGAGATGTCAGATTTTTTAAAATGTTTCCATGACAATGGCCTTCTTTTGAACTTTGAAGAAGTGGAATTGCGGGAACATGTTATACTAGACATTCAGTGGTTTGCTAATGCTTTCAGCAAGGTGATTGCTGATGAAAACCACATCACTAAAGACTGTAAAAGAAAATTAATCAAAGAATGGAAATCATTCAACAAAACAGGAGAACTAAAAGATAAAGTGATAGATGCTTTGTGGAAAGATGAACCCTCTTACGTCAAACATAAAAGTGAAATTATGCCATACATGGAGAAACTTCAAATGCTGGTACCTTTAAAGTCCTCTTGGGCTGTTTCAGAAGGTGGCATGTCATGGTATGTCCCGTGTATGAACAAAAAGCAGTTTGAAGCTGACTTCCGTGAAGATAAATGGGAATGCTCATCCATTTTGTGCTTCAGATTCACTTCCTTTGCCATGTTTGTGTTCTACAGACTGGTAGCATACTGCATAAGTTCTCTTCGATGGAGTGTTGCTAAAGATGAAGACAATGAAGGAAGCCTGTGTCTTTATCAAACAGCAGCAGTGTTTGATCACAATTCACACACTGTTGTTGTTGGCATATCTAATGACGATATTGAATTGCAAGTGTTCAGAATCAAACCATTAACTGTAGACAAAGAAGTATCAAATGAAATTGGGGACTCCATTGAAAAAGCCATAGAAAAATTGACAGAAACATTTATTCACACAAAAATATTCCACAGAGGATACAAATGTCAATTTGTTATTTGTAATGAGAAAGATCTATCTTTTACCCTAGCAAGTGAGCTGTCCACAATCAAGGCAAAAGAAATTCAGTGCGAGTGTCAACTTCGAGAGAAACATGTGATAAATGTAGAAACCACTCTGGGATTCTGGGAAAAGGTAACTATATTAATCTTTATCCCCCCCCCCCGGCAAACAAAAACTTAAGGGTATTTAGGAATCATGTCCGTCTGTCTGTCTGTTGGTATATCTAAATATTTATCTTCAGCATATTATGTAAAAAAGTAAAAAAAAATGTGCCAATTACAAAAAAAATGAAATGACAATAGAAGTCAATACTTTACAATAAGACTAATTACAGGTGTGCCTAGATTTTAAAGCAAGATCATCTGTCAAATTTAAAATCACTTTCAGAAAAATGCTTATGACCCGAGAGTGTGTGATGATTTGGAGATATTTTAAGTCAATTTGTTCATTAACATAGAAAATATATTTATGTCCATAATTTTTAATGTAGGAATATTATTAATCATCAGTTTGGAGGGAAACGTAAGTTCCACTATATTATTGGTATATCACAATTATAGTGAGATTCCACTTAATTTTCAGCCGTATTTGTGCTCAATTTCATAAGAAAACTGTTGATTTTACTACAAGTCACACCAATTGGTGCCCTTACATTTCAGGAATTTAATGAGATTTTCTGTTGATACCTAAATTAATTGTTACGTGAAGCATGATACTAATATATGAATAACAACTACTCTATATTGATATTCATGTGTATTTTATATTGGAAAGGAGATCAATGTCAAGCCAGCATTAACATTTTAAATATTAATTACAATAAATCTGATTAAGTCATCGTCAACGTCCCTTATTTAAATATCTCATAGTTGATTCAATACGCAAGAGCATATTCTTCGTAAAACAATTCTTTTTCAAAAGAAGTTGATGAATTAGGGGTATGTCTACTATGTCGGGTAAATCAACATATCACAAACAACGTGGACAATAGTGACCTTGTTAATTTTTAATGCAAATTGTCTCATGGTTTAGGTACCAAGGTTTTACAGAATCTGAGTAAAATATGTTTCTGTTCAAATAATTCTTTTTATTTCACCTTAGTCCTAATTTTCCAAATTAATATGATGTCACCAACTCGATGAAATTTACTGGTAGATTATAATCTTTTTCACGATAATTTCCCTTCTTTGGTCTCAAAGTGGACCCTTTGTGATGGTCACCATGGAATTTAAAAACAGTGACAAACCGTACTTGCAGTATGTTTTAGCTTGGCTCAATACATGTGGAATAATATTTATAGATTTTGATCTTTATTAATTATTATTACCGTGGTATGTATTTTAGCTAAGTTTGGTTCACTTTTCCTATTTTGTTTTAGAGAGAGGCGAGTGATTCAAGTACTCCTGTGGCCTCTGGACAAAACCTAGAAGGCCGATCTAGATTTGCAAAACTTGGCATGGCCACAAACGATGTGTTAAATAAAGCATACAGAGATATTCTAGAATCAGAGATTCCTGCATCTGATATTGAGAACAAGATGAATTTATTATCAAACAGAAAGAGGATGAATATGAAGCTTAACTCGGATCAAGAAGATCTTTTGATTAAAGCAAAGAATTCTGGATACGAGGAATTTGATATTTCATTAACATACAAGTTGATAAGAAACATTTGTTCAACGATTCCTAAACCAACAAAAGGAAGATGGGGAGAAGAGCCAACAGCAGGTGAGGTGACAGTGGGTGACGATATCGAAAGAATAAGGTTTATACGAAATAGATTGACTGCACATGTGAGTTCAGCCTCCATCTCTCAGACAGAATTTGATGACACCTGGTCAACGATGTCAGATGTCTGCCAAAGACTAGAAACCTTCACTGGAAAGAAGTACTTGGATAGTCTTAAAGGGATTCAGAAACTTGCTCTAAAAGAGGAAGGGGAAGATGCTATAAAAGCTATCATAGAAAAGTTTGTCAAAGATCAACATGAACTAATGAAGACAGTCGTCTCAGATGTTCAAGAATTAAAGTCTCAAATGATGACGTTAAAACGAAATTGAAGACTGGCAGTAACCTTTCAGAAATAATAAATTTTACTCATATAACGTTTGCAGGACTAGTATAGTAAATAATGTATTCTGTAACACTTTGTTGAAGAACTCGAAAATCTGCAATGCACTCGAAAGTTTCATTGGTGAAAAGCGTTTGGATAAGCTTAATTATAATCATAAACTGGATTTGAGGAATTTGATATTTCATTTAGATACAAGTTGAAAAGAAACATTTGTTCAAAGATCCCTTAGCCAACAAAAGGAAAGTGGGGAGAAGAGCCTGCAGTAGGAGAGGTGACAGTGGGTGATGATATCGAGAGAATTAGGTCAATACGAAATAAATTGACTGTACACGTGAGCTCAACCTCCACCTCTCAGACAGAACCCAATAACAAAGTGGTCGACAATGTCAGATATCTGCCAAAGATTGGAAACCTTCACTGGGAAGAAATACTTGGATAACTTTAATAGCATATATAAACTGACCTTAAAAGATGATGATGCTATTTCAGCTATTTTAGAAAAAGTTAACTAGGAAAAACCTGAATTGTTGAAGAAAGTCATGTTAAATATGCAAAACTTAATGTCATATATGCAAGAAGTTAAGTTTAATTTGAAAAATAAAAAGCAAAATTGATGCTGACAGACGCTGCTGTGCAAATTAAACTTTTTATGCATCAAACATATGTAGAGTGACTTCAACTTTAAACAATTGAAAACAAGTGTTTGTCCGTTGTAAAGAAATATGTATATCATCATTTCTTTTATGAAAAAAATAAGAATCAGCAAAGTCTTTGAGCGAGCAGGAGGTGCAGTTTGTTTTCAAAAATGCATCCATATAATGATATTTGAATCATAATCCTCCTATCATTATCAAAATATGTTTTGTATTCCTTTTCGATAACTTTTCTGTTTATAAAGTTTCTCATCTTTGGATTCTTTAAACCGCACACTAAGGTTTTTTTAAGGATTAAACAGGATTTACTTCCCTCTGAATTTAAATGACGCAGTTGAATTGCTCCCATTTTTTAAAATTGATGGTTAGCCTAAATTTGTTCTGGATGTGTAACTGTTAGGTAATGATGGACAAGGATTAACCTACCTAAAGCAATCCAATGGGATTGCAATAATCAAAGAACAATAAAAAAAAATGTGAGAAACTGGACCTTTTGTATGTGCTTCATATCCAGCTATTACTAGATATTAAAAAAAAATAAAAGGAAGCTTTGCAAATATACCTACAACATATGGAAAGAAGGCTTAAAAGTATACACGCTATAACTTGCTCTAGTTAAAATACGATTGGAAATTGATACAATTTGTTTATCAATAAAAGTTACGAAAATACTGTAAATTACACCATTAAAATTAAACGCGTTACAAAGTTATCAAATTATAATTATTTATTATCCTGCAAGGAAAGAAAAATAGCTATTTTTAAATAAATCTATCACGTGACGCCGTCGCTACTTTTAGATTGATAAACACACGTGGCGTAAAGAAAACAAGGTAGGCCGTTTGAGATACTACTCACTTTTGACGTGGGTACTTAATGGTACTTGACCTTTTAATGTATTTCAGTATCACCAATCTTCTCCGTTATGATGCATATTAACCTTACATTAATAATTGTTGTCAAAATGCAACATACTTCGTTGTCTGTGATTTCCCGTGGACATGTGTTTCTATATATAAGCCTACTGTTTACGCACTTCCTTTATATATTTATGAAAAGACTGAATTCTTAATTCCTAGATATTGTTTAATTCTTTTGTTATTACAACGACATCTATAGTACAATTTTGTGAAAAGTATTATTTTTTATTATACTTCATGTGTTTAAAACCTATGATCATTTTGTTTCAACCAAAATTCGCCGTTCATATAGCGTATATGACTTAAACAAATAAAGAACAAATCTAACATTTTTAACGAAACATGAGTTCGACATCCAACTGTCAGACAAAATTCGATGACAGTGGGCCTTTTACATATGAATTCTATTCAGTTGCTATTTTTATGGAATATCAACCGTAGTCAAGCAATGTTACCGTTGCTACGTTGGAGATGAAAGAATAATATTATAGAATTGTTAAAATTCAAGAAGGTTCAGAGACAATTAAATCAAATGTCCAAGAAGTAATGAAGGAGCTACAGATTAGGAGCTCGTTGAATATTGTGTAGAATATTAAAGAATTGGGCGTTTTACTTAATTTTATAAGAATGGAGAGTGCTGGGGAGTTCATTTTAAGTGGATGTGAATCCTATACTGGTTGTAACTATTTTAGAGTGAATGTGTATCCTATACTGCTTGTATCTATTTAAGAGTGAATGTGTATCCTATACTGGTTGTACCTATTTTAGAGTAAATGTATATCCTATACTGCTTGTACCTATTTTAGAGTGAATGTGAATCCTATACTACTTGTACTTATTTTAGAGTGAATGTGTATTCTATACTGCTTGTATCTATTTTAGAGTGAATGTGTATCCTATACAGCTTGTAATTATTTTAGAGAAGCTACATAGTTCAAATTTGTATGGAAGTGTTGGACGAGAAGGGAATATTTTCATTCACGATTGCAAATTTTTAAAAACACAGATTTGCGATCAAAGTTTGTTGCTTGTATTGATACGTTTTTTTTTATTTTGCTTTGTGTATTGTAAACTTAATATCAAGTGGGTTCAAAGTATTACAAAATGTTACATGTTTGTTTGAATATACATGTATTTTATATTCTTATTAGTACACAGATTTGCGATCCTAAAGTCGTTGCTTGAGACAATATGTTTATTTTATTTTACTTATGTATTGTGTACTTAATATCAATATGTTTCAGTGAATTTACAGAGTGTTTTCATGTCGTCCTATGAAATAATACATCATTTGACATTATTGACAGAAATGAACGTCTTGACCAATTTCGTTGATATTTGTCTCATTTACTATTTGGATTAATACAGTTTTTACAGACAAATTATTTCAGTAAAAAAGTTCGAATAAACTATTCACAAAATTATGCCAAAAAAATGCTAAAAAATGCAATTCAAGCAAAATGGATTTATAAAACATGCTAGGTACCTCATTTCAAATCTGTAATTATCAAATCCAGCCTAACGACGTTGTTACTAAACCTTTATCTGAATTTTAATCGAAAAGGATATGTATCCGATGAAAATCCTGAGTATAACTAAAGAGATATTGCATTGTTGTCTCAAGTTATGGAATGTTTGTAATGTCCAGACATGATGACATCGTTTCAAAATGATAGCATTTTAAAATGAACTTTTTAGCTCACCTGAGCCGTAGAAAGTGAACTTTTCTTATCACATTTTGTCCTTCGTCCGTCCGTCTGTCTAGCTGTCTGTCCGTCTGTCTGTTGTCCGTCTGTAAACTTTTCTCATTTTCGACTTCTTTTCAAGAACCACTGGGCCAATTTTGACCAAACTTGATACAAAGCATCCTTGGGTAAAAGGAAATTTAAATTGTGAAAATGAAGGGCCAAGTCCCCTCATAAGGGGAGATAATCAAGAAAAGATAAAAATAGGGTGGGTCATTAAAAAATCTTCTCAAGAACCACAGGGCCAGTAAGGCTGAAACCTATATGGAGGCACCCTGAGATAGTGTAGATTCTATATTGATCAAATCATGACCCCCGGGGGTGGGGCGGGGCCATAATGGGGAATAAATTTTTACATAGAAATATATAGGAAAAATCTTGAAAATCTTCTTTTCAAGAACCACTGGGTCAAAAAAGCTGAAACTCATGTGGAAGCATTGTGGGGTAGTGTAGATTCTAAATTGTTCAAATCATGATCCCGGGGGTAGGGCAGGGCCACAAATATGTATTACAAGGGGAAAATCTGGTAAAGAACAATATGACAAAAGATTCTCAGGTGAGCGATGTGGCCTAGTGGCCTCTTGTTTGTTATGTTCCTTTCAATGCTAGTCAAGTTGTGTGAATAAAATTGGAAAGGCCTAGTATAAACGATACCATATAGTACATTTCTTTTTTTTCAATATTCATTACATTATGTTTTACATAATCATGAAAATGTATCATATGTTATGGGACACGCTGTATAATAGTATACACATCTAGTGATCAGTTTAGGGTTTAAATGCTGTAAACTTGTATTTTTTGAAAACGATGATGTATGATGGACAATGTCTGTTGATGTATCTGTATGTGAATCAATCCCGCACCTCAGATCTCCATATATTTTCCATATTCAAATTAAGGAGAAAATGCAAACGGGAGTATTTGGACTAATTTTCCGCATTCATTCCTTAGATTCAAATTTCCGGATTTTTTCCGTATTCAAAATATGGAGAAAATGTGGGATGGGAGTATTTGGACTCTTTTTCCGTATTTTCTCCAGATTACCGCATTTCAATATATACAAAATATAGAGGTATTTACTTGGTTGATAAAATGCGGAAATACAAAAATCTGGAGAAAATAAGGAGTTCATCACATGGTTATAAAATGGCTTAAAACTGCTACATGATGCATACATACATAAATATTTATAAAACTATGAACAATATGCAAAATTATATACAATTATGATACAATTATATCATTATGAGAAAAACATATAAATGAATGAAAAATTTACACATGTTCATGAGCAATATATTCATTTTCAACATTTTATTGGGGAAAAAAAAAACAATTGACATAGCATTGAAAATTTACCAAAAAAGCAATTTTATGGACATTTTTTTTATCAATCTGGATCACATTTTCCATTTTCTACCTGCATCCCTGATTCATATTTCTAACAGTTCAGTTAAATCTCGGGTATGTGCTTTACACCCATCTGTCCTATAAAAATTTTCTTCAAACTTCTTTGTAATTTGTAAGGTCACTGCATGTTTCAATTCTTGCAGCAGCACTTGCAGTTGAATTGGCAAATCCTATCAATTAAAGAAAATACTTAAATAATGGTGCATTATTATTAATAAAATTTAAATTACTTAGTAATTGCTTTCATTCCTTTAATAATCTTTATATAAACACAAGTTTGGGTTATTCAATTTTATATCAATTTGTTTAAAATAATATAAATATTTGAAATAAAGACAATATATTAATTTTTTAATTAAACAAATGATAAAAATAGCTCTTTATTCGAATTTTAATTGTAACTTTAGAACCATAGGAGATAGAGACTTTATGTTTGATATGCATACTCCACTAATTAAATGTTTTCAAATGACACCAAGGACAATGATCATGTGACCTTGACTGTGGCCTATTTGCTAGAAATTTCTTTTTTGAACTTTGTTGCCGCCGGGCGCATAGTTTTTTTACAAACACATCTTGTTTAAAATGTAAATGAGATAAACAGCTTAAGAACTGCTTAAGGACATACGCAACGTACCTTACCTCTTGAAAGATTTCCAAGATATTCCAAATTTAAACTTATAATATAATTACATGTTCATTGTCAAAAAATCAACATGCCTTACCAGAGGTTTTGAAGATATCGAATTTTGAAAATTTTTGCATTATTCAAATGAAAATGTGCAAAAATTATAAAGCATAAATTTCAGATTTGTTTTGTTCAAAATTTTTTTTTAGAGGAGGTGTACAAATCCATTTTTAGACATTAAAAAAACTGCTCACA